GCATGCACACTCAACCCTCAGTGAGCCCCTGCAGAGGTTTCCCTTGGACACATATAGTCTGTGCATTTGCTGTTATGTAACTGTTTGGCTGGAGAGGAGGAAACGGGGAGTTCAGTGGAACTTGTCGTCATTGCGTGTGCACACGCACACACACACACACACACGTAAACATATAGGCCTGCCTGTGACGTGGTCTGATCGTACATTTTGTTATCTGATCTGAAGTTCCGCTGTAAATACAGGTTTCAGCATTTGCAGAACTTCCTGGTAAATATGACTTGATTTCCATCTAGTGGCCGAGGGCCCTCAACACAGCCGATCACGTTCTGTGATCATTTGATCCTGAGTGAGACGGTTGTTGTTTTCTTCTCTCCCTGCGTCTCATTACCGCTTTGACCTTTTCACGAGCAGTTTGTCTGCGGAGATCAATGTCGGAAAGAAACTATTCATTTCATTCAGGCTCCAGATGAAGACGGAGGTTTATTTTAAATGTATCAGGACAGAGATGGACAAAGAGGCTAGGCTGTTGATATTCTGTGTTTTTCTCAATGTCAATAATGAATTGAAAAAGAAAAATATAGAATAGTTATTTTTATGTTTCGGTTGATTATCACAATCAAGAGATGCAACATGATGGAGCTCACACTGCTCCTGAACATCATGATTGTGTTGTGCAGATCTTCTGTGCTCCATCGTTCGATGATAAGATCCTGGAAGTTGTGGCCGTGTTTGGGAGCATGCAGATGGCAGTTTCCCGAGTCATCAAACTGCAACACCACCGCATCGCACAGGTGAGAACGCACCAAAAACAACAGTAGCTCATAACTCCGCCAAGGCCCAACAGACCCCCACCCTCCTCGACGGAGGTAGCGATAAATATACTCAGAAGAAGATGAACATCATCTAATCTGTGTTTCTTTGACTGCTTTAGTGTCGAACCGTGAAGATTACTATCCTGGGCGATGAAGGTGTTCCCATCCAGGTGGACGGAGAGGCCTGGATCCAGCCGCCCGGCGTCATCAAGATCCAACACAAGAACCGGGCTCAGATGCTCACCAGAGACCGGGTGAGACGCAGAGTTCGAGGAATATGAGACAAAGTTTTACAGGAACTAGTTCAGACGATGAACTTATTCTTTGATTTCGCCTGCAGGCGTTTGAGAACACGCTGAAGTCGTGGGAGGACAAGCTGAAGTACGACAAGCCTCCTCTGCGGCCTCACCTGTACCCGCAGCAGTCTGTGGATCTGGCGACAGAGGAGGAGGCCGCTCTGGTGCAGATGTGCGCACGAGCTGCAGAGGAGCTCATTACGAGGTAAATATACAGCCGCGTGAATATCAGGTCGCACTGCAGAGGTTTTTATTGAAAAATGAAAAGTCTCTGACGTGTTCTGTCTCTAATCACAGGATCTGTGAGGCTGCGAAGACCAACGGGCTTTTAGAGCAGGAGCTGGCTCACGCTGTTAACGCTGCATCACACGCTATCAACAAGACTCACCCCAAGTTTCCAGAGGTTTGTCATCAACACACATCACACAACATAAAAAATTCACTCTGCTTTGAGAAACGGGAAGTTTGCTCAGCTGCTGCTCAGACGAATTCAAACAAACATTTATTAAAACCATAAAAGGACGAGTTTGATTCAAACAGCTTCCAGAATTTGTTGTGTTTTTATTCTATATTTTATTCGTTGTTATGTTTGTTGTTCGTTCTGATGTGTGTGATTTTACTAAGTATCAGTTGTGTCTCTTGTCTCCAGAGTCTGGCGAGGAACACGGCTATAGAGGTGGCCAGCACCGTCAAAGCTCTGTACAACGAGACCGAGTCTCTTCTGCTGGGCAGAGTCTCTCTGGTAAAACTGACTTTATCATTATAGTCATTCATTTATTTGACTCTGGCTCATGTAAAGTTTCAAACACAATGTGGTGTCAAATGTCTCATTTTCATACATGTCGCTGATCTCTGCTGGTTGGTTTTTTTTTTCCCGGTGCAGCAACTGGACCCACCAGAGGAGGAGCAGCTGTCCGGTGCTCTGCAGAGCGCGGAGCTGGAAATGGCCAAACTGGGAGAGATCCCGTGGCTCTACCACATTCTGCAGCCTAACGACGAGGAGGTGAGCGTCAGACACAGGCATGAACATGTTCACAAGCTGCCCTTACAACAGAGTGCAGCAACTACAGAAGTCGATTTATACAATAACAAAATGAAAAAATCTTATCAGCTGATTTTTATCAGTAGTTATTACAAGTTTCCTTTGTAATATTTCTATAGCACAGTGTGCAAACTGAACGCTATCTGCCCATATACACATTTATGTCTTTGTTGTAACATGGCTCCAGGTAACGAGAGAGCTGAGTAGCTAAATGAAAGGCTATAGGTTGACTGTGCTTATGTACCAGGACCACTCTCTGGGTTACGGCAAGAGGAACAGTCGCAGCAGCATGTTTCGCATAGTCCCCAAGTTCAAGAAGGAGAAGGCCGCCAAGAAGACGAGTCCACAGTCAGGTAGGGCCGCGCCCACTCTCCCCCTCAGTGGTCAACAGACTGGACGGAGGGCGGAGTCTGTCCCGTCTGAACGGGAAACGTCATTCACGCTGCTCGTCAAAGTTTAGCTGCTTTACATCGAGTTGTTGGTGCTTTTAATTTGAAAGGATGGCAGTAATAGACTTTAATGACTGTAAATAAAGATGGACGACGCGTCTGCATTTCCTCCCACTATCCAAATATGAAGACAAAGTATCTCGGGGGTAGGGGCCGGCATCCTGAGCTGGTATCCAGGTAACACTCGACCAATCACCTCCGAGGTGACGTATCGGTTACAGTCCGTTCTTCAGAGCATCGGCTGGTGTCCGGACATTTCTCGTCCCATCTGTTAACATGGAGGTGACGGGGTTAATGAACTACTCTGCAGCCAGCCACCAGGGGGCAGTCCAGATGATTTGGCATCACTTTTTGGGGCTGGCCATGTCGTCCGTCTTTATTTACAGATTGTGGAGGCAAAGAAGACGTTTGGCAGGAAGTGCTGCCATCCTTCATTCATCCAATGATAAAACTGACCACTGTGCTTAAACCTCACACACACGCACACACAGACACACACAGACACACACACACACACACACACACACACTCAAAGTCAACATACATGTCCACCATCATATCACCGTTCATAACAGAATCATTTCGCTGCAGAAACACAAAGTTGTGTGTGTGTTGGAAGTGTTGTCTCCCACAGTCAGACCCCAACCATCAACATCCACCTCCTCCTCCGCTCCACTCATGCTCTCCTCCACCCGTCAACATGGCTCCCGAGGCCTCAAAGTCGAGAGCAGAACAAGGAAAACCCCGCGGGGGATCAAACGTGTCATTTAAACACCAACAAGCCAGAAATAAAGATTCAGATTCAGATGTAGGGTTAGAGGTGTGAGCCCTTCCTCCTCTCATGGCGGACTGCAGACCGCACAGGCTTCCTCCTCCCTTTACCTCCTCCTATCTGTGTTTTCTGATCCGGTTCATACAGTGTGCATGCCCCCCCCCCCCCCCCAATCTTCCTGGAACGCCACTGGCCTTGTTCTGACCAACCTTTGGCCTCTGTCATACTCCTCCCTCCTCCGCCAGCTGCCGCCACCGCTCTCCCTCTTCACTTCCTCTTTGACGCTCTCCCCCTTCCTCCCTTTCCTTCAGTGATTCACCACCGTTTGTGTCCATTTCTAAGTTTGTGTGTGAGTGTGAGAGGACGACGGATGGGACAGCGTGTATCCCTGCGAGGCGCTCTGAGCCTCTCTCTGCTCCGTGTGTGTGTTTGTGTGTGTGCAGTGGAAAGATGGGGCCCAGAGGAGGTGGGCGTCTGGCTGGAGCAGCTGAGTCTGGGGGAGTACAGAGACACCTTCATCCGCCACGACATCAGAGGCTCGGAGCTGCTGCACCTGGAGAGGAGGGACCTGAAGGTACGCACACTCACACCTCAGTCCCTCTGTGAATCTGTGTGAACCCTCTCCTCCAATCAGCTCTTTCTATCTGTTTCCACCTCTGACGCTCTTTAACCTGTCAGACATCTCCCCGTTGTGCCACCGCTCGCACTGCGCTGCACTGCTCTGCTTGGCTTCTTCTGTCTGATCGTTGCTTTGTGAACGAGACTCGCTGTGACCCACTAACACTGTGCATCTGCTGAGAGGGGAAGCCTCCGGGGCTGGGGAGGGAGAGGCTGAGCGGAGCTGGGCCGGTGGTAGAGGCTCAGACTCAAGAGGAAGATTCAGTCCTGTGGAGTTTACAGGAGGTTTTAATTATGAATGAACCTGCATTTGATTTTTTTTCTGATTCAAAGGACGTTTGAGTCCCGTCTTCATCCTCAAACAAGAAAGATAGAACGTGAAGTTACGAGAACACGAACACCTGAATGAGCTGCAAAGAACTGAGAACAGCCAAAGAACAGTTTGAATATATATAAAGTTTAAACAAGTAATAAATGATTGAAGAATAATTCATCAGTAGCTGCCTCGACCAACGAGGTTCTGTTTTCACACCTGTTGTTTGTTTATGACCAAGATTACACAGAAACATCTGAAATCGCTTTTATAAGATTGTGAGATCAAACAGACTCGCAGTTGTGAAAAGTATTTTGCGGTTAATGGAGATGGGAGGAGAGGCAAACATGGATGAAGATAAAAACTGATTTACTTTATTCACATTGTGACGAAGTTAAAAGAAACAGGGTTGAAGTTTGAGTTAAAGAACATCCACCGTATGTAAGTGCAGCATGGAGAGAAGTGCAGCTGCTGGAGGTCGGTAAAGATTTTAAACTGCTGTTATTCAGAGAAGTAAAGTGAATGGACACAAATGACATGACGGTCAACCACCCATCACGCCGGTTGGGGGGTGGACACATCGAACACAGTTCATCCTGCGGGTGGGACGAACGTCAGGACCGAATGTCACAATAGATGCTTCACTCAAAGCCAAAAACGGTGAACCTCATCACAGCCATCGTGTGTGAACCGTGGTTATTTGTACATGTTCATCCACACAGACCCTCAAACACGGCAGCAACATGGAATCTTTTTATTTCTCCGGTTCATGTTAGATTTATCCTCCAGATAAGCTGCACCCACACATCAGATAATATTTGAAATAACCACGTTTTAAAAACTTAAAACAATTCACGTTATGCTTAAAGGAGATATATTATGTTTTCATGTTTTGTGTCAATGTAAAAGTTCTGGAAAAGTGAAAAACTTTGAACGCCAACAGCTGAGAAGGTCATTCTTGGTTTTCTTGTGGAGGAAATCTCGGAGGAAAATGTTCGGAGGCCGAGAGAGCTCAACGCACTGAAATCAAGAAAACGACTTAATCAATTTGACGACACATGCGAATACAGAAGCACGTTGCAAATAGTGAAAATGACAACGAAATGTTTCCAGTGGACCCAAACAAAGTGATGAACCTGCTGTAGTTGGACATATTTCTCTAGTTTTTACAAGATTAGGTTAATTAAATGTTTTATATTCCTTACACTTAGGTTTTACATGTTACTTACTGATGCCTACTTTGACTCTTGCTGCTGTAATACTGCAAATCTCCCCATTGTGGGACTAATCAAGGATTTTCTTATCTTGACAAACATGTCTTCTTACATCTTTAAGTGAGACAACCAACGATCAGCTGCTGCATCTGTAGAGAACTTTAAGATCCGTTGTGTCACTGTCTTTTTAATAAGGCGGAGTTTATGTACACATTGCTGCTGATTGGACAAGACCCCTGACACACCCACTAATCGAGAGAAAACAAACCATGTTCAACTGTAGAAAAACCGAAACGCAAAACGTTCTGAGAGTGAACGTGTCCCCGGAAGGTCAATATGTCCGACACGTACAGGAAGCATCTGACCAATCAGAGCAGACTGGGCTTTATCAGGAGGGGGAGGGGTCTTAAAGAGACAGGAACTGAAACCAAGTGTTTGGGACAAAGGCTGAAAAGAGGAGCTGCAGCAATGGACAGTCTGAGGAAAGTGACGTCCAACCAATCTCCTTCAGACATTTACGTCTGATGCTCACCTTGTAATAAATGTTTTTCTCTGTGTTGTAATCTGTCCGTCTTTTTCCTCCTTCTCAGGATCTGGGGATATCGAAAGTGGGTCATATGAAGAGAATTCTCCAGGGAACTAAAGACCTGGCCAAGGCCTCCATGGTTGACCTCTAACCCAGGAGCTGTAGCGACTGGTGGGGGAACAAGAAACAAACTTTCCCCTCATGTCAGTGGAAGAGTTTGGAAGTGTCGTGAAGGAGAAGAGAGCTGGAGTGTTTCTCTCTGCCGAGGCTGAACCTTTGTGACGTCGTGAACAAGATACTTACGCATGTTTGTTTGTGCTCCGGTGCCAATGGAGGAAGTTGATGGAAGTTGTAAAACGACGTGGATCTTAACAAACAAGCTAAAAAAAAAAGAAAAAAAAGAAGCCATTTCTGAGTTAATAACCATTTCTAGCACACAACCAGGTATGCAACTAACCATTACTGTTCACAGGAGACTCGTCGGCCGAGTTCCTATAACTAACTAGTAGCAAAACCAGGACTTCCATGAGTGTGGGGTTTAGTTTGAGTTCAGTTCAGAGTGCGTGTGACGACGTTTGCTGGATCTCACGTCACACGGCTGCAGGCGCACTGACGCAGACACAGGGAGGATAAACCTGTAACACGAGTGTGGGTGGAAATCTGGAAGGTTTCTGAAAACAGCGGGATACTGTCGCATGCTATGCTTGCTCAACCTTAGATATGTTTAACTGCATGATTAGTGTCTCGGTTTTTTTCGTGTGCTAAATAACACTTGAACAAGTTTTACATGACTTAAGTATTACGATGCCATTTGTTACTACTGAAAGCATCTTTTTGGTCTAAATCAAACCTTTTTTCTAGCTTTAATTTATTTTGTTTGCATGATAATGACGTGTCAATGATTTGTGTCACGTGCCATATTTTCAGTCATTTCGTGTGAGCTGTGCTTTATTGGTAGACATAAGAGTTTTTATTTTTTATTTTAGAAAAGCTGTTGTTGAGGTTTGAATATATGGATTTAATATCTGTAAGTGGATGTGAACATCAGTACCAAAGTGAATGTCTTTGAAAACATCATCGTCTGATGACTTTGTTCAGATCACAACTCTTTTATTTAATAGACGAGCAGATCTTAGGTCTTAATTCCAGTTAAAGTTTAGCGTTAGTCAGGAAGAAAGTAAAACTGTTGGTGTGAATCCAGCCACAGACAGTGGGGATGGGTTTTTTTTTTAGGAATACTTAAAAGGCACTTTTTACTTCTTGCTTTATGCAAGTGCAAATCCTCATATCATAGAATTAACACTTCACCTCAACTTTTTTACTTTTGGCAATGTAACACAGTATTTAACACTAATGAGAATGGAGTTAAATATATGTTTTGAATATATGTATACAGTAATACAACAGCTGATCTGCAGCAGCCTGCATAGCAACTAGTTCAACTACTTTTACTTCAACTAATTTAAAGTAAGTTTCTTCTAAGACTGGTGGCATTACAGGGTATATTTCCATGTGTCCCCATATATATATATATATATATACACTGTATATATATATACACACTGTATATACAGTATACCAGTGTATGCAAACAATGTTTGTAAGTGTTGTAGTCTAATGGATTTGTATATTATTGCTGACATGGCATGCATTGTCCACAGCTTACACATTTGATTGTGTATATTACACCATGACGAGTGTGTATAGTTGATTTTGATCTCTTGTACATGATGATGCTGTTGTATTTTAATGATGGTGCAATATTTGATCTCTTGTTTTGATACTGTCTCTGCAGCTTTCTGACATGATGGAGAGAAAAAAAAAAAAAAAACCTTGAAAGAGTTTTTTGTACACGTTCTCCTCCTCGAGGTCCGAGGATTAGATTTTAAAAAGTTAGACCCATAGACAGATGTTTTCTTACGGACTCCACATTTCTTCCAGCTGTTCACTAGTTTGTAGTTTTGCTCCTCTGTGCTTCCAGGATGATACACTACATAGGGACTGTGTCAGTGAATGAGTCGAGTGGGCAGACTTGACTGTTTTGTTCATTTCTAATATGTATAACAATGTGTTAGCGTGTTTGGGTGTGTGTTCTACAACAGTGGCATATTTGACCTCGTCAGAAATGATGTACCATCGTTAACCTCCACTTTTGGAGAAGCATTTCTTGCTCGTACGTCGGTTTTTTATTCTTTATGTTTCCCTCATGTTGAAAATGTATTTTCTAGATAAATATCGAGCGTTAAAGCCAACAAGACGCACAAGTTTTCACCCCCTCAATTAGCTCAAATAACAGAATGTGAGAGAATCAGTTCGTGAGAAGTCGTGTGCTGTCCCTAACACCCCAGTAGAGGGCAGTCCATCCTATCTCACGTGGGTTACATTGTCAAACAGGCTGATTTTACACTGACAATCAGTTCAAACCTTTATATTCAGCAGAATCTTGCACATTAACGTGCAGGAAACATTCAGCCTATAAATCTAATTCCAGTTGTTGATGATGTTTTTTCATGTATGCACTAATACTCATTCTGCAACTCATAGCCAAAGATATAGTAGGTGTTAGTAACTATAAACCACTAATTCAAAAAGAGATGTTCTCATTTCCCCAGACAGAACAGAACTATGCCTTTAATTTAATTAGCAGATTTACATTCATTGTAATGACAGTCGGCCTTTTGTGAGCCAGAAACTCTGCGTAAAGGTTTTACCTGAGTTGAAGCCTTTCTGTTCTTATATGTGCTTTACTGGAGCAGTGTGGTAGAACTGCTGTATGCTGCCTTGTTCCTGCAGTGCATCATGGTCATGTGTCTGTCTACGTTTGTTCAAAGTGTCTGCCGGCCGGGTTCAGTAGATTCTCAAGTGTTTTTTTGGCCCCAGACTCCAGGCAGGATCGTGCTTGACCCTCCCATGCAGAGCGGAGAGTGAAAGCCCCTCGCTGTGTTTTCCAGTGGTCTGTAAATAATGCTGCAAACTGCCTGGTTTTAAAAACCTATATCCATGCAAGGATCTCTAAAAGACAGATTAACACATAGTCTTTGACTCGGCTCCTAAAGTGATGGGAGAAAAGTGAATTTCATTTGTTTACATTATGTTTACAATGGCACAGTTTTAATTTGTAAGAATATATGTAGGTATAAACAACATTTGCATATTTATTGCCTAAGGTTAAATGATATGACGTGTATTGTGTTTTCACATTTGGAATATAATGTTACAGTTGTCACCTGTATTACTATCTGGATGATTTTGGTAAAGTAGTTGATCATTTCTATGACTACTAAGTGACTGTTTTCTGTGCCTTTTTATGGTTAGAATGCATGGTTAACTATTTATTACGATTTGGAGTCACCGAGATGTGTATTTTTGTATTCCGAATAAATAAATGGTTCAGCTTTTGTTGTACATTTTTAAGGTGCCTTAAAACAGGCTACCTATTCATATCTCTCTTCTTCAATAAAACCAAATACATATGCAGTGTGTTTCTGCCTCGTCCTGTTTTCATTTCACTTCAAGGAGAAGAACTAGAGCCAAGAAAATGTCTGGAAGGAATAAAATCTTTGCTCCAGACGAATGTTTCTCTGTTGCACCATAGGATAAATCAGTTGTGGCGAACAACTTATATTTGGAATTCTAAGTGTTTCAAAACCAAACGTTGAATAGCCGCATTGTGACTGAAACATCTGTGTCATATGCAGTTGTGTTGGAACACCCACATCCCTGAACACGTCTCTCCACATCCTGTCTTCTGATGAAACGTCTCTTTACTCTCCCTCCGTCTAGTTTCCCTCTTTCTCTTAACATGTGTCCAGTTGCTTTATGTTTAAGATATGTTTTATTGAGCCAAACTCAATCATGAAATGCTTATTTTCATTAAATAGAAAAAGTATGTAAATATGATACCACACATACAAAATACAACGTATTGTAAATAAGTTAATTTACTCATGTTGAAGTGAAATTTAATTCCGTGCTATTTTATTCTTCTCTCCAATTAACAAAGACAAATATTGTAATTTTACATATAAAACATGTGAAGACAATATTGTTTTCATAGATGAAACAGAAAATTACAATTTTAGTACCTTTTCATGCATTTATGCCACATGTGGTTCTGGGTTATTAAAAGTGACGGTTGGTTGCTTTCTCATTTTCTTACATCACAGAAACTGAATAATTTGCAGATTGAGCCATTTGAGGAACCAGTTAGAAGAAGGGTTACCCAACCCTTGTTAGAAGAATAATCCATAATGTAAACAGACATTGATTACAACCTTATATAAATTACAGCAACTCCATCATAAAAATGCGAATCCAAAATGAATGCACGCGTGACATAGTTTAACGATTTAACACAGACATTTGACTTATTCGTTTAAAATCTAACCTATGAATCTATCTCATTCTCTAATGGACAAAGAGTCCCCCCCCCCCCCCAACAAGCAAAAGAATTCAACAGTAAACCACATGGAACTTTTCCAAGTTTCCGAACGTACTGAGCCGTTGATGTGCAGCAGTCAGTGAAGCTTCCCAGGAACAAGCAGCAGGTCTTGTGTAGGAACCAGTGGAGCAGACGTGTGTGTGTCTGAGCTGCGTTGGTTAAGACAGACGCCATCGACATGAAAATAACACAACTGAAAACATCTGGGACGTTTGGGAGATGAAAACCAATTTCTGTAGGTTTGACTCCTTGACCCTGTCACTGTCTCATGAGACAAGAGAGATATATTCTATTCATAATATATATTATATATATCACATTTTATGGTATGAATGTTTTTGCTATAACAGTAAAAACCTGACTGATACTGAAACTGGCTGTAATATTTTTTTTAATGATTTTCAGGTATATATTTATATATTTTTTAATTTGTCAATGATTCCTAAGATGTCGTTATCAAACCTTTATGACAAAGAAATGAATTGAGGTTTGATATAATACAGTTAAACAATAAACTTTATATTAAACAGAACAGGAGTGTAAATGTACTTCGTTACTTCCACCTCTGTTGTCATTATTATGATTATGATTATTTATTCTAAATCAAATGACATATTTGGGATGTATAATTAATCATTATATACATTTTATAATAATTTATTACTATTAAGTAATTGAGTAAATGTACTTCGTTACATTCCACCACTGTTTTTATTATCGTCATCATTTATTCTCAAACATATCCAACTCGATTGTTCGGTGTTCGGTTGAGCCCGCAGATCGGTTTCTCTGGGCTCGATCAGCGCTGTCTCTGTGTTGTTTTCGTGGGGAAACCGGAACGAGCGGAACCCGGTGATGTCGGTTCTCCTCGGTTAATTTGCGGGAGTCGGTCGTAGATGCGGGGCCGGTGACGCGCGGACATGTACCGGAACGCTTCAGGTGACTTTGCGTGTGAGATGAAAAAAGATGAACTCACCTGGACGCGGAGGTTCACGGCGTCGTGTTAGCCTCCGATGCTAATGTCTGATGATGAGCTAAACTAGCATGAATGAGGGTCACACTGCGATGACCGCGTGTTTCATATCTGATGTCGTTGATTGATCCTGATCCAGATGTGACAGATGTGTTTTCCCTCCTCCGGTTCGACGGGTAGGACCTCGAGCTTGAACCGATCCAAGCGCTCGGGTCGGGGACGAGTCGCACAACCGAAGACAGCGGCGGCGGCGGAGTCGGACCCTGAGCGGTGAGACACCAGCAACGTCTTTATTCTAACGTGTTGTCAGGAATACTAACGTGTACGCAGCACCTCTGAGCCGGCGTGTCGTGGGTTCGATGCCCGGCTGCGCCCCCGCACTGCAGCGTTAGCTCGGTGGCTAGGTGTGAGCTAACGACAATAAGGTGACATCGCAGTCAGGAGACCGCGGCCTGGTTCTGCCGTCAGCCCGGTGACCGACAGCCCGTCACCGCGCGTGTGTGTGCGTGCGTGTGTGTGTGTGGGGGGGGGGTCGGTGTTTGTGCAGGTCGTGCTGCGGGGCTCCAGCTGTGGTGTGCGGGGACCGACTGCACCCCGCACAGCCCGAGTGAGTCAACATCAGCATCTACAGAGCGCGGCTGCTGCCCGGGGCCTGCTGCGGTCGGTACCAGCCCCGGAGACTGACACCCACAGCCCGGCTCCGTGAGCTGGAGCCACGGCTCAGTCTGCGCGTGTGTTTGTGTGTGAGTGAGCTTTACTGATTCAGTTTAGATAGAAACACACCAGTGAAAACATCACTAGGATTATTATATATTTAATTTCTGGATCCTTTCACCTGAATCTTACACACTGGATGTGTGTGTGTGCAACACCAAAGTTTGGTTTCAGCCCGATGCCAAATAAAACCAGTGTGAGGATCACCTGATGTGTCATTGGTTAAATTGTGCACACTAGCTGATGTACACTTATATAAGGGAGAGAAATGTGTCACGATGAGTCAGGCCGTTTCTCTTAGGATATTTATTTGTGACCAAACAATCACATGCATGTGCACACAACAGAAGCACAGATGTAAACGTTGCAGCGCTAAGAGGAGTGTTAGTGTGTCCGGGATGTGATCTAACTCGTGACTAACTCAATAGATCCTATTGATGCAAGTATCTATACTCAAAAGAAGACTTTGTATTTGTAGTCTTGAAGCTTTGGGGCTCTAGTTCAAGTTGTTTACGACATTATCTTCCCAAGAACACAAAGGTGGAGACTTGAACCATGACCATTAATGTTGCTGTTGAAAAATGATCGAAATGTTGAATTTTGTTTTGATAAATCATTTAATTAAATTTCGCTTCAGGGTTTTATTGTGACTTTATAGAGAGAGACAGGAAACAAAGGTTCATGGAGGAGTCAGATGTCTGTGTTGTTGTATCGCACCTCTGGCGTCAGTGGAAGAAGCATGGGGTAATTCACCTGTTCAATGATTTATTAAGCAGTCGGCACGTCGAGCACATTAGTTAAAGTTTGCAGCAGATAGTTGTCAGTTGTTCCCCGGGCAGGAATCTAACTGTGGACAATGAGATTTATGCTATTATGATAAATGTAAGAAAACTAATTTGGTTCATTATAAAATTGTGAAGGGGAAAAAATGGTGCACTATTTTAAGCATTAACTTTATTATAAAAAATATTTATTAAAACATATTTTTGTCATGAATACAAATCATAAACTGTAAAATCATAAACAAATAAATAATATTCTCAAACATAATCACTGATACAGTACGTCTGTGAAACTCATGTTGATGTGTCAGGCTCTATGTCATGATGACTATTTTATTGTGGATATTATATTCACTTGTCTGCTGCAGCTGCTGTGGTGACACTTGACCAGAGTCACCTGCGGTTCAGTAGAAATTGGTGTGAGATGGTGTTTGTCTTCATGTTCTCCCAGACTCTGCTGCTCTCTCTCAGCCTCTGTTTATCCATCCTTCCGGCCACCCACACTCATGCTCAAGATGTGGGCCACATCTGCACAACCAGTCAAACAACCAACACTTCAGACTACACAGTTTGTGCCCTTGACAGGTTGTTGATCACAAACAACCTCCAGAACCTTTTTGCTGAATCTGCATAGCTGCGTTCCTTTGTTTTTGCAAGCAGCGATGTTTCACTTTGTGAATCAGTGCTCAAGAATCTGTTTAACCTAGATTGACTTAGTTGTAAATTTCCCATTGCATGAGTAATACTAGATTACTATGACATTATGTGACCACACCGGTTGCATAAGGTGATAATGATGTCGCTATTCTCATAAACTGCACCACTGGTCACTAAAGCTGTGAAATGAACATGAAACATCTCAGACTGTTGTTCTTCTTTCAGACAGTCGCAGTCATAATAGACGTCATTGTGCCGGCTTCCTCTGTGACTGAGTGAATGTGGAAGTGCTGTGTGGTTGAGGTTGGGCAGCGGTGCCTGGCTATGTTGGTTTTTTTTGCAAAGCACCCGTGAGAATCCAGGAGGTCCTGGATCACCACAGGAAGCTGTGGCGTGCACTCGACCCCGCTGGTTCTCAAGATGCTGGACGGGCTGATCAATCAGACCACCTGCCTGCATCTTGACCCGACTAGCTGCTTTGGACCATACCTCAAAGGAGAGGCTTGGATTTCCTGGGAAACTTTTCCCTCTTGTACACTGTAAATATTTTGCCTCTTTACCCGCACTCTCTTACCGAGTGTGTTTCCCCTGCTCCGAGCACACACCGCTGCTCTCCTGCTCTCCTGTTTGATCTCTGATGCAGGCCTGCCTGTTTAAAGAATATGAAAGAAGAGTGGCCTGCAGTACGAAGCTGCTCCTCACCAACAGTATGAGTCTAGGCCTCATGTTATTTTCACACGGGTTTGACGAAACCTCGGTCAGCTGCACAATCTCAAAAATGTTGTGCACAAACCAAAACGTTAACTGCATCACGTCCTGCAGGAAAATGTGTCTAGATCAGTTTCACAGGCTTGAGTCCACTGGTAACTGTCGATTGTAAATCACTGGATGGTACATCGCAGTACGATAGCTTTGTCGCATGTAACCTAAGAGGCATGTACAGTGGGCAGTGCAGCAGTAGATAGAGACACAGTGTGATATCGCTTTGTTTACTAATAGCACTGACACTGTCATTGCTTTGTCATGTGATGTTGTTTTGGTCGGGGGTGAGATAGCTGCGGAGCAATGTAGAGTTCAAGCTTAACAATCCTGTTCTCTTTCACTTGCTGCAAGTAGTACAGATGTTCAGACACCATTTTTACCTTCCTGACCCAGAGTCCCTATCCCATTCCAGTGCATTTAAATAAAACAACAACTGGTATCTAAGAAAAACAATAGAACTTCCTTTAATATCTATAGTTTGACGGCCATTATTGGAAAAGTTATGGAATGAACCACAATCACTTCCTTGAAACAGCTTAAAACTGAAGTCTTGCATGAAGTACTCATCACTGTTTTACTTGTGTGACTTTCCAGCTTGAAATACGACATGCTAGCTCTGGCTAACGCTACACTAACAGAAATGACTTCTTCTTTGCTGCTCTAAAAACAGCACATGCCTGTGGCAGCGCAGTGCAACCGCTGTTTCGGGGGAACAGCAAAGAAGATGTGATTTTGCAGATGAAGAAAATGTCAGTGTTATCTGGTTGAAAATAAACTAAAGATGTGTTTGGTACGTTGTTCCTGATTCTGGTATTATAACATCATCATCATCTCTACTTGCAATTGGTGGGGGTACTAGAGAGAATTGACTGAGCTTTGTTATTGAAAGCTGTGATATAAGTCTGATACATTTCTAAACTCTCAATCTTGTCTCCTCCATTCTTTGTTAATCACATTGCCTTTTTCTTTCTCCCCGGGCACCTCTGTGTTTATAGGTGAGCGGCCAGTCAGCCAGCCCCTGTGCAGCTCGCAGATGCCATGGACGCCTGTGCCCGTATTAGAGGAGTCCCACTAAGGTCCAGGGCCTCGGTTCGGAAAGAGGTCTGTCTGACTCAGGCTGTTGCACTTTTATTTCCACTAGTAATGTTCTGTTGTTAAAATGCATACGTTAGTGTATTTAAATAAAACAGCGCTGGCCTCTAACAGTTTTACATGCTTGTGGTCTGTCGCTGCTATATGTTGAAGGAATATTCTGTGGTGCTGTGTTCTAGTAGAAATGGATAGGGCAGTAGGATCTAAAGTGTTTTTGTATGTCAGTGTGAATATAATCTGATTACCCAGGATATATATTAAAGTCACTTGTAAAAACAGCCAGATACTTAACATAGGATTTTCTTTTTCTTCCATTCATCATCCATAAATGCTACAGTGACAAACACATACATACACATTGGTTTCTCATTAGTTCTGTTGGGAAACATTATACTGAGTCTAACCCTGCATGTGTGTTTGCAGACTGTGCGTGACAGCGGGGCACAGTGTGTGAAGAGCCTCTTTAGGAATAAAAAGGAGCTATGCAGCATTGGCCTCGAGCTGACAACCAGAGACGCCACAAGACTGACAGAGGTTTGTCACACATACACACAGCAATGCAAACATGTACAGAGCTCAGTCATGTTCACGCACAACAATCAACTGTGATCTTTCAGATTCATTTTGTGTGTCTGCCTGGACAATGTGAAGGGGACGATGTCACCCAGCAGGTAAGACTTCACAAGTACAAACACGTATCACATGCCTACAGAACCTCACTTGTCAAATCTACCTTATATCATGTGGTAATGACACAGATGAGCAAAAATATTTTGGTTTATACTCACACATTCAGAAAGTATGTTGATTGTTTCTTAACAACAGCACCCGTGAGAGTCTGGGATGTATTATATGTATTTTTATCCTTTATTTAACCAGGAACGTTCCCTTGAAATACAATATTTCTTCTGCCAGGGAGCTGTGGTCAAGATGGGCAGCAAGTGAAATAAAGACATGTCTTTTTTAAATACAAACTGGGTGCAGATCGCACAAAAAATATTGAAGACAGAGAACAGACTAAAGCATAGAAACATGGGAATCAATGGCATAAGTAAATCATGGAAAATATAAAGCACATGTTAAAAGAAATTACATTATTCAATAAAAACTGGTTTCAAAAGTTTTTTTTTTTAACTTGCTGACAGCGTTACAATTCCAAGTTCCAAGCTCATTCCAAGCGTGCAGTGCATGAACGCAGAAGACAGATTTATGCAGCTCTATTTGGGTAGAAGTAGAATTTCCACTCATAATCATGTCTTACAGCTACCAGCACACTAGATAAGTATTGTCATATTGTACTTTTGAGGTTAAATATTTGACCTCCAAGCTAACAAGGTTCTGTGTTTTCTTCTTCTTCCTCAGGCTCTAGCCTCTCTGCCAGGAGGGCTGTGTGAGCTCCTCAGGTCGCTGCATGTTGACGGCCTCAAAAATGACGAGGTTCTGTTGCTCAAAGACTCCCGCAGGCTGTCGGAGCACAAAGACGCTTGGCCTCAGGTTGGTGACATATCGAAGGAACATGCTCAGTCAGCATGTCGAGTAAAGCAGAAGTGAGACGGGGGGAGTGCAGAACCCAAGCTTTTTCTGTGCCTGTAAATGTACAGAACACCACAGAGTTGTTTCCTTATTATTAGATATCTTTGTGATAACAAGTTTATTTACTCTCTAAGCAGAGCAGATGTAATGTGATTTTCAACACTCATGAAAAAAACCTAAATTACTTAAAAGTGTGACATTATTCAGCGACTCTGGCAGTTTGAAGTGTTTTCCCACTGCGTGGCTGTGCCTGTGTTTCTCACGCTTTTGAAGAAACACAGGTCGGACAGACAGACTGAAAAAATGTTGTTTTTTCAGCCCACGGTTGCAGCAGTGTCTGCCTCAGTCGTATGTGCAGTGTTTGGGTTCACACAGGCCCTGAAGCTCACTCTGTGGTTTCGTCGTCCGTTTCAGACAGTTAGACCCCCCACCTCTCTGCATCACAGTGTGGACTTACTCTTAGTGATTTTGTATTCTGCACATGTAGCATATCAACTTGCAATCGGAGTACAGACATAACAGTGCACTTCTGGCCCCGTCACCCCCATGTTCCCATGTGAATTCTGTTTCATTTGCAAAAGCCAAGATCTTTCCATAATCAGCTTGACTTATTCGATTGTGGGACACGGTTACTTTGAAAGTTTATTGTCAGGAGAATGCTGTAATTTTTCTATAAAATTTACCGAATATGATTCACCAGCCAGACATGATTTCAATATTTTCTTTTCTCTTCTCCTCCTTGATTTTCTTTTGCTTTTTCTCCATTTTGTTTCTGACATTGTTCTTTTTTGTTCTTCCAGTGTTGGTTAAAAGCCGTGTGTGTGATGAGGCATAATCCCAACACTAGCCTGTACCCTCAGGCCAGTGTGGCATCTTTACTGAGCTTGTTGGGGTGCTACATGGCAGGTGTCCGCTACACCTTAGAGCTTCAGGCCATTCAGAGGGGCACAGCTGAGGCCAGTCAGCCAGAGGAGGACGACACCAACCAGTCTGTCTCATCCATCGAAGACGACTTTGTCACGGCCTTGGAGCATCTGGAGGAGGACGACACAGGAGACAATCCCTGTACGTTTAAAATCTGACGCGTTTAGATGCGGCTGGTCTCTTTTCTAGAATATCTTGATATCCCATCAGTTGAGAAAGTCTAAAATAGAGTCCTACACATGTTTATCTTTTGTTAGTCTGTATTGTATTTAACCAGTTTTCTCTCGTCTCTCTCTTCATGTCCACCTGCAGCTTCATATCGTCATTTTAAAAAGCGCGATGTGGCATCGCAGACAGTCCCAGCCCATAAGAGAAGAAAAGAATTATCAGGCTCCCGTGTTATCATTAGCTCATCTTCGAAGAAGTATTCCGCCCAAAGCAAGTCGGGTCCAGATGTGTCCATCACAGTGCAGAGGTCATCGTGTGTGGAACCGCAGTGGACTTACTGCAGTCCTGGAGCTCGTCTTCCTTCTCCTCTTATTCATGTCAGTGAATCAGAGGAGTCCGACTGCTCCAGCCCCAGTCCAATCATTTTCCTGGACGAGGTGGGCTACCAGAAGAGCCTGTTGGCCAAGCTGGACATCCCCCAGGTGCCGGGGGGGCCCAGGGAGCGAGTTGAAGACTCAGACTCTGAAGTCAGTGAGTTCTTTGACAGTTTTGATCAGTTTGATGACGTGGATGAGCTGAGCTCAGAGAGCTCCACTCTTGCACTGCCTTTGGACACCATCAGTGCCCCAACGTCACAGAAAAAGTGTGCAGAGTCCAGCACCAGTGCGTCGACATCCAAATATGTTTCTAGGGGCTGCTCAACCAAGGGTATGAATCCTCACCGCTTTGACCAGCCAACACTCCCAGCCAATGTGAAAAAACCTACTCCTCTGAAACCAGGCTCTCCCTACTCACTTCACACTGAGGTGCCTGACTCCCCTCGACCGGTGCAGACCCCCTCCGAGGAAAACGGTGGCCCACTCTTCAGTCCTGTCAGCTCCTCGGCCTTTAGCCCTCTGGTGGACTCAAGTGGACCACTGGAATACTTTTGGAAGACAGATGAACAGGACAACTCAGAGCTACGTAAACCCCAGGACCTCTGCTCTCTGTATAAGACCTACTCAGACTTTGCCAACAGCCTCTCCAAAGAAATTCTAGGGTCTGTGTGTGGCTACCAGTCTGCTGTTGACATCAGTGACAACAAGAATCTCAGCTGCGTCTGCCACAAGGAGTTTGAGAATCCTTCAGGTTACCCGATGAAGCTGTCAGAAATACAGGAGACTGTAACAGTGGACAAGTTGCAGAAGAAGTCTCAGTCTCTGTCCGATGGCATTCAGAGATTTGCCACAGACCTGGTGGAAATGAGTCTGGGCAGTGCCTTGAGAGACATTCAAAAAGGTGTGTCCTCCTGTACCACCACCTTGTGTCACTTAGCTGCAAGGCTCACCTCATCAGTGTTTCAGATGGCCTTCCATGAGATTGGGATGCGCCACGCCTATGTGTTGAAGGAACGAGCCATCAGTGGATTAGCTGGTTTCCTGGTCGGAGAGGCTGTGTCCGGGGCGCTGAAAGATTTCCTGACAGTGAAAAAACAGATTTTTCACAGCACAGTTTCACGTTTCGCTGCAGACCTGGCTGAAGAGCTTGTGTTTGAAGGTATCATGGAAGTGTGTCAGTTCTCCCACCCCTCAACCCCTCTCACCTCTAGTGATTGGTCCTTTGGCCATAGGCAAGAAGAAGAGGAAGAGGAGGAGGAGGAGGTGGTTACCTCCTATGCTTCAGATTTGTCTGAGTCCGTTATCCAGGAGGCCTTCATTGAGCTTTCTCAGGCAGATGTTGCCTTTACCAGCCAAGCAGCTATTAGTGTGTCTATGGACAACATCTGTTATGTCAGTGCAGAGAACAGCGGCACTGACACATGTAGTACCTTTGCTAACCAGCAGGTTTTAAGTTCCAGCTCAGCTGCAGCGGTTCCAGGGCCCTCAGGAGAAGATACTACCTGCACGGTGAAGAAAGCCCTGTTCACTGTCTCGGGAATGGCCAGTTGTATTCCTGTGCCCCAGGCCGGCCAAGCCCTCTCCCACCTTCACGAGTCTGAGGAGACCTGTCAGTATAAGTCCAGTTCACCAGATTCCCCTCAGGAAAGCCCTGAAAGAATAACTGAACACTCCTCTGACACCACCACATCTACACAGACTCACCTGTACAGTCATGGAACGCAGACCCCCATAGCTGGAGGAGGCCCATCCCAAGGAAAGTCCTCCTTCCAAAACTTCTCTGGCAACATGGTGGATATGATAGTTACTGAGGCTTGTGAGCTTATTACTGCTTCTAAGATGAAGAAGAGTTTCGGTGACTGTGCAGATTTCTTCACTAAGACAATCGGAAGCCGGAGGGACACTTCTCCGCCAGAATCCCCTTTGAAGCAGGGAGCCAGCAAGGAGTGCGTCAGGTATGATTGTAGAGATTCACAGTATGTTAGGACGGGGGGAGCTGTAGAACAAGCAACAGGCTCTCAAAGCCATGGGAGAGCCGGCTGTGAGTTAGACCCTAGGACCAGAGTCGTGGTTGAAACCCATCCCGTAATGATGCATACTCTTGACGTGCCGGGTACTGAGATGGGTGGACAAAGGAAGATATCTGTTCCTGGGGATGACTCAACTCCGAACACTGGCCAGAAATCTGGTGGGACTCCCTGCACGCCTCCTTCTACCCCTCAGCAGCCCAGTGAGGTCTCCAAGGAGAAGCAGATAAAACAGTTCTCCAAGAAGCTGAAAAGCAAATTGGCCAAAGAATTTTCCCCTGCTACCCCGCCTCCCACCCCTCACTATCAGCCCGAGCCTGGCCGAGGACCAAAAGACGTCACCCCTGAAGAAGACAAGGCCGAGTTTATGCTCAAACTGATGAGGTCTCTCTCTGAGGAGGCAGATGGCAACGAGGATGAAGAGGAGGAAGCATTGGCAGAAGAGGTTGGTGTTGATGTCAGTCACAGATGTTTAGAGGCAGGGAGTGGCCGGCATGACGTGAACCAGATGTCGGCTAACAGGATGTCCAACAAAGAAGCTCTCCACTATGCCGAGCGGTTGGCTTGTCACATTGTCTCCATGGCAACAGAGATGGACACGCTGGGAGTAGCAGAGGAGGAGGAGGAGGAGGAGGGAGAGATGAGCAAGGGCAGCGAGAGGAGGAGAGACAGCGTGGCTCAGTTCTCAGAGCAGACGCTTAACACATTGTGGGTGTATGCTGGGGAGGTGGCAGGAGAGGTGATCAGCGATGTGAAGAAGATGGTGAGCTCTGGACAGCAGTGTCCATATCACAGAGCGATCAGACGAAGAAGCCTGGACAGACCTAGCTCTGAATGTTTGCACCACCACCACCATCAGTCTCAACTCAGTACAGACCAGAACAGAGACTGGAGGGTGGGGAGGCTGGCGGAGCAGTGGTCCAGTGAACTGATAGCCTCTGTCTTTCGCTCTCCCACCTCCACTTCAAGCACCTGCTCCAGCTCTGGTCTGTCCTCGGAGTATCCCAGCTGTGAGAGTGTGACAGATGAATATGCTGGCTACCTAATCAGGGTGCTGAAAAAAGAGGGAGGTAGTAGGGAGTTGGTGTTAGACCAGTATGCTAGCCGTCTGGCCTACCGATCCATAAAACAAGGCTTGGCGCATGCTAGTCGCAAGGTCAAGCAGAGAACCTCAAGCTTGCGCCTTCACTCCTCCAAGTCGCTACCAGACGAATGGAAAGCTTCGAGTAGTGAAGCCTCGTCGCCCAAGGACAGAGCGGAGTCGGTGGCTTCTCCGTCAGGCGAGGATGCTCAATGTTGTTGCAGCGACTCTGAAGAGCAGAGTCAGAGGGAGTACATGGACCTGGTCAACTTCGCAGAGTCTTTAGCATACAACATCACCTGTGATGTCACACGCAAGCTGCATCTTTCCTCTGTACGACTGCCCAAGTCTCTTACGGACTCCTGTCTTTATAAGAAATCCAAGTTTGAAGGCATGGCAGAGAATCTCATCAGGAACTCCTTCTCCTGCCCCCTGTTGTCCAAAGAGGGTAAAGGCAAGCATTACCACAGTACAGGAAGCCTGTATGATAGAGGCTACAGCAGCAGGGTGATACAGGTCATTGAGCATTATGCCAGGAAAATAGTTGATGACACTTTGAAGATGAGCCTGTCTTCAGTTGGACATTCATCCCGGGAGCATCAGAGGACGCAAGGCCACGACAGACACTCTCACACCAAGAGGCTGTCTGAGGGGCCAGCAGGGGGCCAAGCTCTAGGGGAGAGGACGTGCCGGTATTGTCAGGTCCAGGAGTGTCCGTACTGCACCAAACACAGCCGGCACCACCAGCCTGGGTCACAGAGGAGGAAAAGAGGGTCAGACTGTCAGACAAGAGCCGAGCGGCTGCCCAACCTGGACATTCCTAAGATTCACATCGACCTGGACCACAGGGCAGCGTTTGCAGAGGATATGGTATCCATGGTGATGGAGACGGCTAAACGCGAGCTGAGCAACACCAGCCTTAATGCCGACAGTGGCATCGGTCACGATGGCACCAGCTACGCTGAGAGTCTAACTGCAGAGATCATGACATCAGCCATGACCAACATCTGCCAGGCTGCCAACACCAGGTAAACACATGTTCCTCCGATGGGTTGAGCAACACATACTGCAGCATTTAAGCAACTTTGTTTGATTGATTTTTATATCAATTGATTAGTCATTTATGAAAATCTCATTTACTTCTTTCCCAGCATCACCACTTCACTGCACCATCATGGATTTGTAAGGTGTAAATATTGTTTCCTTCCCTGTGCGTTCAGCTCTCCAGGGAGGGAAGCGTCTGAGTCGACTGTGTCCCAGCAGCTGAGTGTAGGAGATGACAGTCTGGGCAGCTGGTCTAACCTGAGCTTTGAGGATGAGCATGCAGACGACAACAGCAGCTTCCTGCACCTCAGTGACAGGTATACAACCACTGACTTTCTCACTCAAACAAACATAACAAATATCCAGTTTCCTGATGGTAAATACACCATTGTACACACAATTCTCTTGAAGGAATATGTTGGTGTGGCTCTGACAATGCTGTTATGTGTTCATTTATACATTTGTCCATTAACGATTGCAGTAATGTAATGATCCTGATTTAAAATCTCCTCAATCTTATTAAGCATAGCAAGTTTTTAATAGCATAAGAAACAGCACAAAAAGAAGGTGATTATTTTAGCTCTTAACTCTCTCAGACTTCCCTCTAGTGCTTTTATTGGAAACAGTCGATAATCCTCAGTGTGATTTGACACAGTGGTTATAGGAAATAACCAGATTTTAGGGTGTAAATCTAAGTCTTTATGGACATCTGGACACTATTTATGAAGCAATATTATTAGTTTTTGCAGCGACAGGTGGCACAAGTTTCTGTCATTAACTCATGGCATTTGGCATTTCATAATTTTTATCATTTAAATTATAAACGAACGTATATTAGATGTTTTTTTTATAGCCATGGGTTCTATAAAATGTTTACAAGATTTACTGTAAAATATAAAATTAGAATTAAACCACAGAGTCTCCGGCCAACCGAAATGCATAAAGTGGCATATGAGGGTGTAAGTAGTGAACAGGCACGGTGTTGAAATATGTGGGGACAATGTTGACATGGGTGAGAGGCTGTAGAATGTATTTCTGTGCAGACATGAAGAATGAGGTTAGTTGCTGGTGTTGGACACTTTGCAGGAGTCTCCTGTGGTCGATTCTAGATTGGAGGTTTCCCAGGGTCAGCACAGGGCACAGGGTTGGTTTGAGACTTCTCTGCCAAAATAAAATTTTTTCTGATTTGTACAAATGTTACATAATACGTGAGCTGTGTAACAGATATGTTGTAAAGATTTTATGTAGCTGTCAGTGAAATTCACCACAAGGACGGAGGAGAGAGTTGTAGTTGTGACAGAATCAAAGAAGGGTTGAGTGGGTGTGGAGTATCAGCCCCCTCTGAACATACTGCGTCTTCAGTCTCTGGGAATGAAGCTGTTGACATTTCTGGCAAAGGTTTCTATCTCTATGGAAGAAAAACTGACAACATTTCAGATTCTTTCCCAAGATACTTAAAGAACACAGAATGTTTGCAGCTATTTTGTCAATCAGGACTGAGTTTATGAGTCATAATGTTTTCTTAAGGTGTGTCTTGAAGTGCTCTCTTCACTTCAGGCGCTGTTTCTACAAGAACAAAGTCCAGCATGTGTTATTCCTTAGACTCTCTTCAAAAGTCCTCTGCAGATGAACTAATGGAAGTGGGGGAAAAATAAATAAATCACCTTGAAATGTTTGTTGACACACTGAAAGTGATGATTAACTGAATGAACAAGTTCTCAGCATGTGTCATCCAGGAGAAAGCTGTAGCTGAGGTAATTCAGATTGATGGAGGTATTTTTTTTGATGATCAGAAATGTTAGCGAGAGAGTGCTGCACACCACAGTTTGCAGGTTCCAGCCAGAAGGCTAATTATTGACTAATTACACCGAGAGAGTGTACGGTGTTGTGCTTGTGTTGCCAGCTCGTTGTCTTGGTGGAACCCACATGATTAACAGGATTAAGTTGACGACCGGGATGCAATGATCTCACATCTTAAACCTTTAGCAACAAATTGTCTCAATCAAAGTTAAAGATGAATCAGTGGAAAAATCTGCATCATTTGAAGAAAGCTCCTCACCTGACATTTAAAGGATTCTGCCAAAAATGATCATCAGTCTCGAGTATTGTTTGTTTAAGCCTCATGACAGATATGGTTATTATAAAGAATGAGATAACTGAGAGACCCTGATCTTTCTTTTATCTTAGTAGCTCTCATATTAGTCTGAGAAAGTCTCAAATGTAATGATATGAATTAGAGACTGTTAAAATCCTTAAATACGTTTAAATATTAGGTCTTAAATATGTTGAGGTTGGTCTTAATTACGTCAACGTACATTTAACTCTTAACAACTTCCTTTAAATTTGTAAACTTTGTTTTTTGTTTCTGCACCATTCATTTTATTGTTCTCATGTGTTGTAGTTCTTTCTCAAAAATACAGATATTAAGAAGCTGGAGTAAAACTACAAGCAAGACTAATGTGGAACAGATGACTTGTCCGTCTGTCGTAAAGACAATAGATTCTGTAGTCTGTCTGTAGTTTGAGAGATAACGTGGCATTTCCGGGGATATTATTTCTAAACGTATCTTTAATTATAAGAAAGTCTCATTAATTCTGACTCTGATATTCCTTCATCTCTTGTCTTAAATTTCATTCATCATGGTCTTTATGAACCCTGCCTCCTCCATGTTAGTGGAAAAACAGAGTAGACCATATTAAAATAATTCCAGGTAGTTCTTGTCACACAGGGTTCATGTTTCTAATGTGTTTGATTTTAATATGTTTTTTGATTATATGACTCCAAATGAGCAAAATGGCAGCCTTCTTTTCAGGGTTATTTTTTGCTCGTCTCTGGATAGTTGGAGGAATAATTTATCGTCTGTGGTTGAAACCTGCAGAAAACTTGATCTTTAACCTCACCTGACATTTAAGGGATTTCTCCAAATGTCTAGAATTGTCATGAATCAGAGTCCAGTTTGTTTGACAGATGTGTTCATTACAGTAGATGAGATAAAACTGCTGAATACATTCTGATCTCTGTCTCATCTCTCACATGATGGTCAGTGTTAGAGCGGTGCGTTACCTGCCTTCTCTCTCCAGCAGCAATGGGAACAGCAGTAGCTGGAGCAGTCTGGGCCTGGAGGGGGAGGCGTGTGAGGAGCGCATGTCCTTCTCCCCCTCTGACAGGTTGGTCGTGGGTAACCTCCCAAAATAAAAGACCTGGGGTTTCACCTAGAATGAGACAGAAACAAATAATTTACCAAATTTACTAGAAAGTAAGCAACGAAGCACGAGACCGATCCATCGCCACAAAACTGAAACCGGAGAATTTGTTCACTGTATGAAAATGATATACCACATTGTACGATAGCATTTTGATTTGTACTTTGTCTCATTCTAGAAACCACCATCCCCTCGCATGACCACACCAAAGCCCTAAATATAAACAGACTTTACACGGGATAAGCTTGTTGATGCTAACGTCAGCCTGTGATGTTTTGTTGCTCTACATTACTTGCATGCTATTTGGTTTCTTGATGGGATGATTTGTGCTGTTGTTGTATTTTGGGGGTTTTTGCCCTCGTTGCACTGATGCTGTTTGACAGTTTAAACCCACCAATAGTTTCAAATCCACCAGCTGATTTAACTCCTGCAGGTCTGACATCACAGGCCTCTATTCTTAAAAAAAACATTGACATGTTAAACCTGCACTGCCAGACCGTTATAAACATGCAGTGTTTTCTCAGGCTGGTGAATGTCAGTCCAGTATCAGTCGATCAGTGGATTCCTGTAAATATAGAAATGGTGCTGCAGATTTCTTAATCTGAAAAGTGCTAAAACAACTGTTTGCTTTTGTCATTTGGAAAAGATGCCGTCACCCCGCTGACATTCATATATGAAAAATTAATCTCAAAGTTTGTACTGTTAAGTTTCACCATAATATATTTGTGTGTATATAATGTGTCCATTTTATGTAGTGATGCAAAGTACTTATGTATTTTCCATCACTATGATGAACTTAATCTTTCTGAGACAAAAACATTGCCACCTTCTTAATATATCTATAAACGGATGACAATATATATTGATATTATCATTCATAAAGGAACATGTAGAGTAACAGATTGGCTTAAGTGTCAATTGTTTCCTCAGTCTGCTCACAGTAGTGTATGGGCAGTTCATTTCCAGCCATTAGGTGGCAGGTTTCACACAGATACTGATTCGTGGTGAAGTTACTTCGAAACTTGGGCATTAAAAACACAAGATATGTTTGAAATAAAGACGGAAGATGCAAGTCACTGCTCCGGTGAGTCACTGGGAGACGGCTTCTATCGCACACATCACCATCGTTGCATTTGACAAAGAAAAGAAACCGATGCAAAAGCAGAACACAAAAAATGAAATACTTTTGTTTTAAGTATAAACAATTAGCTACTCGTAACCAACTACAGTAAAAAAACTATGTACAGTGGGTTTAAACAGTCACAGTGTTAATGGCCATAGGTGATGATAAATCTGAATTGACTCTGGTGTTGTCCTGTGACACATGATTATGTAGTTGCCCTGTCTCTCTGTCTTGACACTGTCATGGCTGCTTCATGATCCTGTTCATAAACGCAGTGAAATGTGAAAATTCGTCCTCCTTCAGAAAAGAAAACAATCTCGAGTCTGAGAGTCTGTACCCGTGGGGCTGTGTCAACAAGATAGTGATTAACAATCTTCTAAAGTGGAGAAATGACTGTTTACCTGTTGGCAAATATTTGCACAATTAACAAGAGAGATATTGAGCAGATTTCCTGCGCGGAAAAATCAACGTTCACACTGATCAAGATGAACTCTCAGACGCCAAGTCTTAAACCGACAAAAGACACCAAAGCACAAGAGTTAATTTACTGGATCATAGAACAATATTGACTGGAAATGTGCAGCGTAGTTCCCTCCGTGTCTTAAGACGTCTTTTGATCAGATTGCTTTGAATGAAGTGCTTGTGGTGCCTGATATCCTGCTGTTAGCTTCAGCATGCTTATCGTTCTTCATGTCTCCTTTACATGCAGCTTTGTTTCCCCTCTCACTAACCTCTCTGCCATTTCTCGTCCACCAGTGACACCACAGAGGACAAGGAGACTGAGGTCAAAGAGGAATCCAGCGGTAAGAACATTTGACCGCCTGCAGCTTCACCTTTGGAACAAACCGAACAGTTTGCACACTTTTAGACAGCAGTGGGGGAGCAAGGGAACAGACTGGCCCCTCTCTTAATTTGAGGTCTTGTTCTTTCCACTCTTTGAGATTAAGAACAGTTGGACTTGATTTTAAATGGTTGTGTGTGTGTGTGCGTGTGTGTGTATTCGGGGATTTCACCACCCCCATATTCAGCCACTCATTCATCCCCTCCACTCCCTCCACAGTGTCTCACTCGGCGTCATGTGTGTGTCAAACCGGAGCCGGGGGGGGGCGAGGGTCCATTTGGCGGTGGAAGCGTGGGAACCCAGCTCCGACCAGCGCTGGGGGGGGGGAGGGCAATGTTACTGTTACTACCCTCAGTGCATCTGTCTTTGAGATGTACTGAGAGGAGAAGTACACAAAGATGTACTGAGCTACACACTCGGCGTTTCAAGAATCCCATCACTGTATGTAAAGATGGACGACATGATGTCCCCCTGGTGGCTGGCAGCTGTATAGGTCATAAACCCCCTCCTCAGTACACGTTAAATAAATGTTTGTTAAAGATGCTTTCTGTCATTTCAGGAAGTTCTTATCACACTGATGTTTGTTTGTGTTTCTGATCAGTTTGGTTTTAATTCATCTTCTGCAATTTTATGCCTCAGCACCAGCGCCACCCAGTGGCCAGAGGCATCGTGTTTTACGGGTTGTCCGTCCCATTCTTGTGAACACGACGTCTCAAGAACCACTCGAAGGATTTCTTTCAAATTTGGTGCAAATGTTCATTTGGTAGTTGAGGATGAACTGATTAGATTTTGAGTGACCTCATATGATTCTGGATAAAATAAATGGATTCAGACTGAAACTGCTCTGGTTGGTGGAGGCGTACGACTGCGTGGTTCTAATGATACGAAAAGTTCCATATAAATAAGATTATTTTTATTGCTATTCCATAAAATGTAGTGAAATATCATGATTGCGATTGGTCAAGCGCATGTTTTAGTGGCTCCTCACTACTGCACAGACACATATCTGAGATATTTTGTTGTTGTCCATCTTTATTTACAGTCCATGGTTGAAACCTGATCTTGAACCTCACATGAAATTTAAAGGATTTTTCCAAATGCCTAAAATTAGAATCAATCTAAATCCTGTTTGTTGGAGCCACAGGACAAAAGTGAAAACGCTGAATAGACAAAACTGTTATGATGTTCAATCTTAAATTAACGAAATGTCTCCGTGCTGCAGGGACTCTCTGCGTGGACAGGACTCAGGTGCAGGCTCCCAGGACCGTACTGGTCTTCGCTAACTCGGACGTCAGGGAGGTCCGGCGCGGTTCTCAGCACGTCGGCCTCGACCCTCAGCTCAGGAGCATGTTGCAGTGGCTGGCAGCCTCCATGGCCGACATTCCCCAGATCCAGCTGAGTCCTGATAGAGAGCTGCAGCAGGTGACTGACCTCAGGCCGCACACAACACATTCATTAACCACCGACTCACCAATGTGTTGTTTATTATTAATCATTAGCACTTTCTCTAACCACGTCAGGTTGCTGCAGAGAGAGAGTTATTCTCTCCTTCCTGTTGTTGCTCGTTTTCAAGGTTAACAGTCTTTATAGTGGTGTCCTTGTTTCCACTACACTTCACCTCGCTGTGGTTACAAACAGGAGGAGTGATGATGACGGATGATGAAGGATATTGTTTTAGGGAGATGTTGATTCAACTGCATTTGGCTGACAGATGTTTGTGATATTGCCGACTGTAATTTATAATAATAATAATATACAAACGGAGTGATTAAAAACACCTTTCTGTAAACCTGCAGCCTCCAATACATCTGCAAAAGTTGAATTACTACCTTCTTCACAGTTTGAATGTTTTTAACCTTCCTCAGTTATTGTGTAGTTGTGTTAGACTGACTCAGGTGAACCAAACAAACTGTGTACACGACTTTCATCGCAAGCGAGAAACCTATTTTCCAGTTAACGTGAATTACAAATGATCTCCGATGGCTTTTTAGTGAATAATGACTTTTTGGACTTTTCAGCTCCCTGTGGTCGTCCAGAGGCTTCGGGAGAGGAGGTGGCGGGTGGGAGAGCTGCTGCACATGCTGCTGCGCTACTGTGAAGAGACGCATGTCGGCCAGTCCCAGGCCCGAGAGGAGGCCCCGCAGGGGTCCAGAGAACCACACCGCACCCCACCCCTCTTCCAGTGGCTCCTGGAGCATGCCTAGATTCCTCCTCGTCTCCTTCTTCTCTCCTCAGCCTCTAGAGGGCGCCATACAAATCAGCTAATCCATCATACTCTCATGAATGTGGGCAGCGAGTGTTTTGCATTGCATGCTGTGTCCAAGAGTACTTCTGTTGTATTTCATTTCTCTTACCACCTCCTGTTTTTGCTGTTGCAGTTTTGATCTGTATCAGGCTGCATTTACAGCATCAGGCGCTGATTTAGCGTCTTTCCCGCCCTCCCGCAGTTTTGATTTGAAGCCCTCACACCTTGTTGCCATCGTGTTTGAGCCACAGAAAGAGACGGAGAGAAGAAAGAAAGACAGAGAGAGACCCACCCCATGTGTCTCCAGACAGACAGAAATGTGAGTGAGCTGAGAGCAGGAGAATGTGTTTTTTGTTAGGGAATCCCCATCGTTGCCGGGTCGATGATGTCACCACACCCACGGCTCACCTCTTTAGTGGTGTTTCCACATGTTAAGAGACCAATTGTGCGCACACGTACACACACTGCGGCACACCACACCCTTGTATTATCACAGGGGAATCCAAGAAACACTGATACTCATCCACATCTGACGATTATTCCCCTGTAGTATTCCATTATTGTATTAAATCACTCCGAACTGACTGTACTCACAGTTTCTCTGGGATCCTGAATGAGTTAGACGCAGGTTTAATGAACACATATGACCAATATGCTGCCAGACGTCAGGTCTTCGTGGGTCTGCGGGTTTTGTTGCAAGAATTGATCTGAGTCAGGTCCAGCTTCTGCTCGGTGGTTTTATTCTTGTGTGTCAATACGCACAGCATCAAGTGGAGTGAGAACTGAAGTCAGAAACTCTTGTTCTCATCAGAAATCTGACACTCGGCTTATTTTAGACAAATCAGTCTCTGAAAACATTAATCGTTTAGAATAATTTGACCCAAAATTTAAAAAAGGTGCCGTTTATATATCCCTCAGTTGTCTGCAGAAAGGTTCAGGACTCTGTTATCTTTACAGATTAGTATCTGAAGCATAGAAACAAACTTTTAGTTTCTACGACTTAACATTAATTCTTCTGACAAAATGTTAGTTTTCCGCCGCGGCTGCTTTTTAATTTATCGCCATCACGCTGCTGCTGGTATTTGTGTTCTCTTCGTTAAAGCTCGTTTATGCTCAACGTTGGATAAATAAACAGAAACAGTCGGAGCGGTCGGTTCGGACCTCGAGTTCAGATCAGGTCTTTAATCTTTTTAATTCATTTATGCACCTTGGGTCAGTTTTGGGCCGGTTCGGACGTTTTGGACCCATGAAGACTTCACCTTCACAAACAGAACAAGATGCTGTTGAAACTGTAAAACTCATCTTTTAGTACATTTGACAAAGCTGTCGTTTTGCGTTGATGATCCCATTGATGTTCATATGATTTCTTTAAAAGCACTTGATAAAGTTGCCTCTTGCCTGTATCGGTATTTCTGTGTTATCTAAAACCGTAACACTGGTCGCCTGGCAACCATCTCCTCGGTTGTCAAACTTAGTAAAATACTTAGAGTGGAGGATGTTTACTCGAGCGGTCTGTGTTTAAAGGAAAAAAAAAGTCTATTTTTTTGAAGGTAGAGTATCTAATCAAACATGAAATGCTGCTTAAAGCTAAAAAAAAAAAAAGGAGCCTCTATATTGGCTCATCGTTGCCAAATGTAGCTCATCAGGTGGCTCTCCTCCCCCTCCAGTCAGTATCACCGTGTGAGACTCCGGCTCCGTGGCCCTCGTCCAGATCAGGGGAAGATCCAGTGACGCAGACGCTGGATCTTTTAGTAATTAAAGACGCTGGTCCCAGTCTGCACCTCCACAACCACGAAGTAAAAACACGTACATAGCTCGAGCCTGGACTCACACACTGTGTCACCCACGCTTCAGTCACCTTGTGGAATGAAGCTCTCCGAACACCACAACTTCGACACAGCACCACCCCCCCAACCCCCACCCCCACCCCATGGTTACTCACCAGGCCCCATGTGTACGTCTACACGCACAGCACTACCAGAAACTTGCTGAGATGCACTTTTTTTGTTCAGTTTTTCTGCTTGTGATTCGGCCGAGGACAGAGGCTGTTTTCAGGGCCGCCCTCAGACCTGGTCTTGGTGAATTTGCTCCCAGTGTAAACAGTCCGCTCTGCAGCCACAGACACATTTTGGTGTTTGTAGTTATTGTTTTCTTGAGGGACCTAAAAAAAAAAAAAAAACACGATGCTACGAGGTCCTGAAGTTTCTACCATTATTTTCCTCTTGGAGTTTGAATCACTGTAATATACCACAGCCTCTCATCTATTATTATTATTATTATTATTATTATAAACTAGGTGTTGTTGGCAGTGTTCACCTGCATGGCTGAATCTTCGGTGGCGTTTTGAGCTCAGCGTTATTCTTCTCTATGTATTGGCCTCCACTAACCGAGCTGCAGTGATTCATCCGTGCTCACTCTGAGTCCGAACAGTCTGTTACCGCTTCGTCTCTCGGCCGCCGAACAGTCATTTCATCCTAAAGGTCTTCGTCCTGTTTGATTTGTTTACAAGCAGAGATGAATTAATCACAAAATCCACTATTTAAAGAAAACAAAAGTTCTACTCTAGTTATTCCGACTATTAAAACAATAGTAGAAGCTGACAGTGAAGTATTAACCTGAGAAGTGAGAGTGCAGGTATGTTGGTTTACATTAAAGGAATGTATTCACGAAGAGAGTATCACAGTGTATAAATACATATTCCCTGTGTGACTGTTCACGTAGGACTTTCCCTGGTTTTTTCCAGCCACCTCCTCCCTGTTCTTATTTCTTTCTTTCTTTATCTACATTCCTGTTTATCCCAGACGACCTATAGCCCGATATCGTTGTTCTTGTGAAAGCTGAATGTGAAACTGCAGAGACTCGACTCCATTTAGAAGCAGATTCTGTCAAATCTGTTTTGCTCCCGTCGCTCCCAGTGTTGATTCTGCGTCTCTGCGACCATGCACAGGAAAATTTAAAAAAAAAAAGATTAAAAAACAGAGACGTACTTCACCTCCTCTCACTTCTGTACTTTTCCCGCTTACTTGTAAAATCCTGCCAAAATAAAAGATATTTAATAAATTATGTAAGTTATATAACAGTGAGTTCACTACTTGTTCTCCCTCGTGGCATTGCTGAATAGTTTACACATTCTAAGCTTGAAGTCAGAATCTCTGAATTTGTTTATGTTAAAGCTTGGTGTGACAATAAAGCTTTTTCATGTGCTCTTATTTTGTTTGTCGCCTTTTAAATAGAACGATCGCGTCATCGTATCTTCGTGTTTAAAACGCTTGTTTCAGTCCGTCAAGGGTTCAAGTGAATTAACTGATTGAGACAAATAGATTATCAACTCTGGCTGTTTATTTTATTAAGCAAAAATGGTGAATAAGGATTAAAGCCTCTCCTGTCCACTGTGATTCTTTCCTCCTTCCATAAATATCATGATATCAGATCACCGTGGTGTTTTATTACAATTAACACCGCATGATAAAAACCCTCGGCTCCTTTGATTGTGTGTGGCAGATATGTTATCGCTTCATGTCCTGGATATGGTGAGAAAGAGTCATGGTCCAGTGGTTCAGAGACACAGACAAACTGTTATTTACACGACGTCAGTTTAACCACAGCTGAGTGAGTGTCCAGGATGAAGCTCGTAGAGAAACACTGCCACAATCAAAGATTACGACAGATTCACGGAGAGGAAGCCACGGGAA